CTGGATGCGGTTCAAGCCCTCCATCCAATATCTCATCGGTTCACTGTCCACTCCATCAGTTGCCTCAACAATGACTTATTGAATGGCTGGAGAGATGGCTCAGTGGTTAAGAATGTACATTGCTCCTCCAAAGAACATGAGTTCAGTCCCCAGCACCCATGTTAGGTGGCTCACAACCACCTGTAACTCCAGCTCCAGGGGGTCTCATGTCCTCTTCTGGCTTCTTTGGGTGCCTGTACCATGTGACTGACTTTTTTAAAATTTATTTTTATTTTTTATGTGTATGAGTGTATTGCCTGCATGTGTGTAAGTGCACCTGTGTCATACAGTGCCCCTGGAGGTCAGAAGAAGACACTGGATTCCCCGGAGCTGGAATTACTGATGTTGTTAGCCACATGTGGGTGCTGGGAACCAAACTCAGGTCCTCTGCAAGAGCAGTCAGTGTTCTTGACTGCTGAGCCATCTTTCCAGCCCATGGCTGACTTACACAGACACACACACGTATCCATAAAAATAAAAGTAAAGAGCTGGAGAGATGGGTAAATGGTTAAGAGCACTGACTGCTCTTGCAGAAGACTGGGGTTCAGTTCCCACCGCCTATGTGGCTGCCAATAACTTCCCATAACTCTTCTTCCAGGGTGTCCAATGCCCTTTGCTGGCATCCATGGGCATTGTACAACATGGATACAATTGCATTCATCCCGGCAAAACACTCGTACATATAAAAATAAATTTAAAAAGAAAAAATTTTAGATACAAAAAAAAAACAAAAACAGAATAAATGACCAGTATTATAATACTTGCAACTGTTTCATGTTTATGTAAAGAAGTTGGTAGAAAAGACACTAAGTAATTTGCTTTATATAATCATATATATTTATATAAAAGAGATCTGTTAATTTGAGTTTGAGTTTCACAGCAGAAACTCATGTGTATTTTCACAGATAGAGGCAGGCTTAGCAAGTGTTCTAGAATGTTACAAGTAAAACCAGCATTAGTGTCACACTTTCCTGGTCTGGACGGTAAATTCCTACAGAGGAAGGAACAGAGAAGCACAGCAATTCTTCCCATTTCAGCGACTGTGCTTGCTTACACATCCGCACGCCTTTCTACACTTGCTGCAGCGATCTCGCACGCTGCTAAGCTTTGCAGAGCAGAAATGAAAAGCCGCACTTGCACTTTTCCGTGGGATCTGAAAGCCTGTGATTCAGGCAGCCAGAGAAACCTGTGCTTCTTCCCCGACAAGCTCAGGTTTGGATGTGCCCGTGTCGCCACCTGGTGGACGCTATGAAGGTCCAACTCTTCATTACAGGATGCAAGTCTCAAAAGAGACTGTGAGGACATACTGGATGGCAAGCCTCTTCTAAACAACAGTAAAGGACTAAGGTATTGCCAGGTATATTGGTGCATACCTTTAATCCCAGAGGCAGGTGGATCTCTGTAAATTCAAGGCCAGCCTGGCTGGGCTACGTAGTGAGACTTTTTAAAAAAATATTTTATTCATGGGGCTGGAGAGATGGCTCAGCAGTTAAGAACACTGGTTGTTCTTGCAGAAGACCCGGGTTCCAATCCCAGCACCCACATGGCAGCTAACAACTGTCTAACTCAAGTTCCAGGGGATCCGAAGGCCTCTTCTGTTCTCACGGGCATTGTATGACATGGTGTACTTACCTATATGCAGGCAATGCACTCATACACATAAAGTAAAAAGAATAAATAAAATGTTTAAAAAAATATTTTATTCACGATTTTCATTTTATGTGTATGTGTGTATTGCCTGCATGTAGGTAAGTGCACCCGTGTCACGCAATGCCCATGGAGGACAGAAGAGGCCATGGGATCCCCTGGAACTGGAGCTACGGACAGGACAGCTGTTAGTGTTACTTGTCACTAACTAACTAACTAACTAACTAACTAACTAACTAACTAACTAACCAAACTGTGTGTACGTCAGCTTTATTATTACTGGGTAACTATTACTGTCCTCATGTTTATGGGAGGCTAGAAACACAGAAACATCTTGACCTAAATCAGTGGATCAACTTTCCTGGCCTTTGCCATTCATTTTTTCTTTTTGAGTCAAGGCCTGGAACAAACTAGATCAGGCTGGCCTCAGTCTCACAGAATTCCACCTGCCTCTGCCTCCTGACTGCTGGGATTAAAGCTGAGCGCCAACCACCCCTGATTATTAAGGAAATTTGTTAAGATTGTAGGACTTTGGCTGTTCCTGTTTTTGAAGATTTTACTACCAAGACAGTTCTAACTTCTAGGCAGAAAACCAAACACTGTATGCCTATGCTTTTAAAATTTTATTTATTTATTATGCCTCTTCCCCAGCAGCTAGAGAGACGGCTCAGTGGGTAAGAGCTCTGGCTGTTCTTTCAGAGGACCAAAGTGTAGTAGCTCACAGCTGTCCATAACTCCGACTCCAAGGGAGCTGACACCCTTCTGGACTCTGCTGCACAGTCTCACAGATATACACAACTACACAGAACCAATAAAATAAATCTTTAAAAATTGTTAATGATTTTCTTTTTACTTTTTGTTGTTGTTTTTATTTTATTTTATTTTTGTTTTGAGACAGGTTCTCCCTGTAGCCTCAGCTGGCTTAAAACTTGCTATGTAGACCAGGCTGGCCTCAGACTCAACAGAGATTCACTTGTTTCTGCCTCCCAGGTGCTGGGATTAAAGGTTTGCGCCACCACACCCAGCTTCTTTTTACTTTTATAGTTCTTTTCCACGTATGGGGTACCCACGCCCATGAAAACACACAGGCCAGAGGAGGATATCAGACAGCCTGTGTTATCACCCTCTATCTTATGCCTTTGAAACACAGCCTTTTGCTGAGCCCAGAGGTAGGGTGGGGGACAGTAAGCCCTGTGATTCACCTGCTCTCCACTCCCCGCAGGGCTGGGGTTACAGTCGTACATGACCAGGCCCATCTTTGTAGGTGGGTGGTGGGGATTTGAACTCAGGTCTTCAGCCTTACACAGCAAGCACTCTTATCCACTCAGCCATCTCCCCAGTCCCATGCCTATTTTTATAGAAGTGTTACTTTCCTTCCTTCTTTCCTTCCTTCCTTCCTTCCTTCCTTCCTTCCTTCCTTCCTTCCTTCCTTCCTTCCTTCCTTCCTTCCTTTCGTGTGTGAGGAGTACATGTGTGCCACTGCGTGTGTGTATGTGGAGGTCAGAAGATACAGGAATCAGTTCTCTTTTTCCACCATGTGGATCCAAAGATCATATTTGGTGGCAAGCTCCTTTGCCCCCAAGCCATCTCACAGGTCCTATGCCTATGCTTTTAGGTAAGTAAAAGAACATTGCTGGGGACTGGAGAGATGTCTCATAGGTTAAGAGCACTGGCTGCTGTTGCAGAGGACCAGGGTTCAATTCCCAGCACCACAGCTAACAACCATTCATAACTCTAGTTCCAGGGGATCTGATACCCTCTTCTGATATCTTTGGGCATTGCACGACACGGGTGCACTCATACACATGCAGGCAATACACTCATACACATAAAATAAAAATAATAAATAAAATGTTTTTTTAAAAAGCCATCTCTCCAGCCCCAATAAAATATTCTTAAAGCACTGGTATCCATACAAGCAGAACTAGACAAAGGTGAATTTATTTTGAAATAAACTCTAGTATTATCCTATTTTAGCACAGCAGTAAGATGTGGCACACGGTGTGCACAGTGATTATAAGCCATGGGCTCTGAGTCTTCACAGATGTATAACCACTGGACATCAGCTCTCTTTCCTGGCCTCCAGGTTCCTTGTCTATCAAGGATTATGGTATCATCTATCCCTGAGGACTACCGAGAGGATGGAGCTGGGGAACACAGGCCAACAGTGCTGGCAGGTAGTGGGGACACCGCCACAAAACAGCGACTCACCAGGAGGCTCTTCACCACTGTCTATAGGGATGAAGGACATGGCTGCAGTTCCTGGTTTTTCGTATCTAATGTTCACTGCCAGGACATTAAAGGTAGACATGGCCTTGGAAAACTTCGGAGCAAGTCACATGGATGAAGCCTCCGAAAGTGAGATAAGGCAATGAAAATAAAGTCTACAGTATAACTTGAAGGTGGCGCTACAAACAAGAAGCCAGGCCGCACACAGCGCCAGTCACGGAACGCTCCCTGTGAAAGGTCCTCAGACGCATCACGGCAATTCCAGACCCCACACTACACCAGGGCACGACGCTGTCCCTGCGAGAGGTTGTCAGATGTATCACGGTGGGTGAGTCCTTCACTCTAGAGAGGAGCAACCAAGAAGGCAGCTGCTCTAGCCGTGCACCCACGCGTTCACTAATGCACAAGTATCCACCATGTCTTTGATGCCCACGGCACTAGGGATGCAGTGGTATGTAACCTAGACGGCTTCGTGGTACTTACTGTCACACAAACAAGGAGGAGAAACTCACACGTAAGAAGATTTCAAATAGAAGCTTTCAAAAGAGCCTACACCGTGGGGTGCAGGGGTGCTGAAGGCAGAGGATGAAGATACACACCATTCAAACGGAGTGGTCTCAGAGGGCCCCTCCCTGGAGGTGCTGGCTGAATAACCAGCAGGAGCAAGTGTTGCAGAGACCTAGCAGCTAAAACTCAGGCCCAGAAACAGAGTGCGAAGGCAGTGGGTTTGGAAAAGATGGGTGGAGAATGGAACAGGGGTGGCAGAGGGGAACAAGCTGTAGGGCAAATGACAGCCCTGAAAAGCAGGGAAAGGCCAGGTCAGGGAGGCCAAGCCAGGAGTCTGGCTGCCATTCATTGCAAGGCTGGTTTAAGGACAGGGACAGCAGGTCTGTTTACACTACTAGTCTCATGGGTCCCCAGTTGAGCCTGCCTACCCACGTCACTGACTCAGCCCAGCAGCTCACCTCACCACACCATCGGCCTCTGCCCCTAGAAGCAGAGGCAGCCAGCACCAGCTCCAGGGCCCTTCAGTAAAGACAGGCAAAGGGGAAGCAGGAGCTGGCCTGTCCCACACGCCAACTTACCCACTCGTGATGTCGTCTGCACGGATGTTCTTGCTCAGGACATCGCCGTCACTCATGTAGCCGGGGGCGTCCATGCCGATCCCTTCTAGGTCTACGTCATCTCCTGCCTTGTCCGAGACGTCCACATGACAGACACTGCTGCCCCTGGAAGCCAGCTGCCTTCGCAGGGGGGCAGAGTACACATAGCGGCCTGCCTCAGCGCTGATGAAGCGGCTGGCATTGGCTCGAGGTGGGTACCCATTGCCCATCGAGGGGGCGTCTCCTGCCTGCAGCCGAGGGCTGGACTGGCCGAGTCTCCAGGACAGAGGAGTGGGTCTTCCCGTGAGGCTGAGGATGCTGCGGCCACTTATCTCTGTGGTGACATTGGTGTCAAATGTGGTTTCCAATGTACTATAAACATAAAACCAGCTGCAGTTAGACCCTGACGGGCCTTGTCTCCTCTGCAGGTTAGATGTTATTTTTCAGTATTATTTACATAGTAAGATAAAACAGCAGGCACCATATACCAACCACTTGGTATAGTTCCTTCATTAAAAATGAAGTGACTCATCTTTCTGCACGTTCTGAGATGCCTACCAGGGACTTTTTGCTTTAAAATGTGGCATAAGATTCTCTTCATCGGCTCTTTAATTAGACACAAACTGTAGAGCCTAGAAAATGGTGATCTTTCCAGTTCTGGAAAGAAAACAGCAAACGCTGAACTGGTAAAGATGGGACAGCAGCTTTCTGATCACTGAACGAATGCTGCATGGCCACTCTCCTCAAAGGGAGGCTGCACCAGCCTGTCCCGGCATTCCTAAAACCACCTTTCGCATCGTCCTTTCCCTCCCCAACTGAAGTACCAGATTAAGGTGGAAAGAGATCCCTGCCTTTCCATAGAAAGTCACAGGACCTGGAATCCTTGTCCTTCAAAGGCCTGAAGTAGGAGAACACCACCACTAAACTGGGTGTTATGGGCTGTTTTTGTCCCACTCCCCCACCTGCACTCCTGTAACTGACCTCACTTTCCACAGCGTGGACCCTGCAGTCGTACTGAAGTCAGAGTCAACCATGATTAAGCCCGATCTGTCAAGACTGGTGGTTCAATCTGGTGGTTAATATTTATTGTCAACTTGATAGGATCTCGAGTCACCTAAGAAATAAACCTCTGGGCTTGTCTATGAGGGAGTTTCTAGATTGGGTTAACTGAGGTGCGAAGACCCACCCTGAATGTGGGTGACGTTGCTCCATGGGCAGGGATCCCGAACTAGGCAAAAAGGAGAAAGTGAGCTGAGCACTGGCACTCTCTCAGCTTCCCAACTGTGGACCCAGTGTGACAGCCGCCTCCCCTTTTCCGCTGTGATGGACTGTATCCCCTCAAACTGTGACCTGAAATAATCCTTTCTTCCTCAAGTTACTTTCATTAGGTGTTCTGTCACAGCAACAAAAAGTCACTAATACAGGGGGAAGCCTGTGTCTCCTCCTTTTATACATTTACCAAACAAACTGAAATTGGAGACTCGAATGAGATGCCTTGGGAGCTCTGCAGGCATAGCCAGGCCCTGGCTTTGAGTTTCAAAGCCAAACACAAACTGTAAGACCTCATTCTGCCGAAATCACAGAAGACAGGCCAGCACCACATCCTCTTTAACTGAACAGTGAAAACAATCCAATAGATGTTGCCAATGTAACCCGAGGTTCCTTCCAACAAAATCATAGCTTAAACGTAGCGAAGTTTTGATAAGTATGTCCTCAGTCTTCATACACGTGCATGACCAAGGACATTAGAGTCTTGTATATCAGAATTCCTGGTAGGAATTCAAGTCACTCAGTCTGTCACAGGTCAAGCACAGTTCACCTGCTCCATCCAACAGCACAATGGAGTTTTGAAAAATGCAAGTAAAGTGAAATTTAAACAGAACCGTGGGTAATTTCTGTGGCAGGAACTTAGTAAGCTTCCGCTTTGGGGAGGGACTGGTCTACATTAATTTTCACCCCTTTGCTTTTCTTCCACATGCTATTGCACACGCTTTGTGCATTCTAACACATCTGGGGACAAGGTTATTTATTCCACTCTTAACCAAATCACTTTGTGAGTGGCATAGCACACACGACAGAGTCTCCGAGGGAAGTTCCCGCTAGAAGACTCAGCAAGTACTCCACTTCCCCATACCTGTGTGTAACCTGAGTTCCCCGTAAACTGGACATGGTCTCCTCCAAATTCTGCCGTAAGTCAGCAATGTTCTTCACGGTTCGCAGCCTGCGAGCCTCGGGGTCTTCACCTGGACAGACAAGGGTTCAGATCAGTTCACTCTGCTAGATCATGAGGTCCAGGAGAGCAGCAAACACGTCTGGGACTGCAATGCATGCATGCATGGACGGATGGATAGACACATGTATGCATGTCTGTCTGGATGTATAACTGCATGGACGAATGGATGGAAGGCTGAATGGATGCATGGGTAGATACATGGATAGATGGATGGACAGACACATGGATGCATGAATGCGCGGATGGATCCCAAATAGTTTAAATCAAAGACATTCTTCTGCGGTTCCTTCTGAAGCAGGGAGGGGAGGTGCAGCTGTGAGAGGGGCCCAATGCCCAGCTGGAAACACAAATCTACTTTCACATCATCACCAATGAAGACATGCAGGTCAGACCTGAGCCATGTCTCCAGGGTCAATTTACACCCATGAGAAAATGTGTGTGCTCCTTATGTTTAACCTCCTGGCAATATGTGCACCTTACAAAGATACCCACACTTGTTTACCACTGGTGATTTACAGAGGGCGGTTCCCCTTCCCCCTAGCTAGACGTACTGTCATCCCAATTCCAGCTCTGCTGTTGACTGGCTGGGTGGTCACTTGTGGGGAAGGGGTTGGTCTTCCCCGCCCTTCTAGTTCCGTGTCTCTAAAACAAGCACGGCCACAGCACCAGCTTCCACACAGTTGTGCAGAAAACTTAAGCCTGGAGGACTCTGCACAGTGCCCATCACAAGCCCTGAACTCATGCCAGCTGGTGCTGCAGCACTGGGAAGCAGCCTAACTTCTGTGGGGAAGGACATAGCTTGCCATCCTGTGCTGTGCAGAACTTGCACTGGTTCCAATGTATATGAGCACCATGCCTCTCTTGCGGGCTAGGAAGTGTGTGCCTCTCAGCATAGCCATGTTCCTGCTTTCCAGCTACTCTCTTTCATTTGGCCTCACAAGAGAAGAAGAAGGGAAATCACCACAGTAATGATGAAAGAAATAATGGGGCTGGAGAGATGGCTCAGCAGTCAAGAGCACTGGCTGCTCCATTCCCAGTACCCACATGATGGCTAGCAACAGTTCCAGGGGATCTGACGCCCTCTTCTGTCCTCTGAAGGCACTGCATGGCATAGGTGCACTTACATACACACAGGCAAAACACATACATAAAGATAAAAAGTTTTAAATTCTTCTAAAAAAAATGAAATATTTTCCTCCTCAGTAATTTCAAAGAGGACTGTGAAGTTAAAAAAAAAAAAATCACAACCAAAGGCCTTTAAATGCCTGTGACTGTTTTCAGGGATGAGCGATATTTTAAGAGGACTATGCCTAAAGAAAATAGAATACATGACAATGTGATTTACATCAGATGCAGAGTAGAGCTTTCAACCACTGCCTTAATGGGGCAAAAGGCATCTGAGAAATGTCATAAAATCGAACTTCTGAGATGGATTAACAAGCTCCTTGGCTTGTTCTTGGTGAGGCAGTGCCTGGAATGAGTGTGTGGTAGGGAGTAATGACAGCCATGTGATTTTTATAAATAAATTTACCAGGGCAAACTGTCTAATCTTGAAAGTGTGGATGTTTTCAACTTCCTACTCCCTTTAATCCAGGGAAAACGGGAAGGTATTTTTCTCTTATCTGAACTATGCTCGAACTTGAATTTCCCACCCGAGTCTCTTTAAAAGTATGTTTCATTCATTGTTTTTATTTTATGTGTATGAGTATATTGCCTGCATGTGTGTAATTGCACCCGTGTCGTGTAATACCCACAGAGGTCAGAAAAGGGTGTTGGATTCCTTGGGAAACGGAGTTGCAGAGGGTTGTTAGCCACCATGTGGGTGCCGGGAATCAAACCTGGGTCCTCTGCAAGAGCAGCCAATGTTTTTAACTTTGGAGCATCTCTCTATGCACCACCCAGTGTCTTTAAAGCATATACATGTATACACACATACATGCATACATACATACATACATACATACATACATACATATATACATGTGTAAGAGAGAAACCTTGAACTCCTCTCTGCCTGCCTCCACCTCCCAAGAACTGGGATTACAGGCACATACCACTACTCAAGTTTGGATGCTGCCAACCTGCTATAAAATGAGCAATGAAGGAAGCTGGAATGCTTACTTGGAAGAGGGAGGCTCAGAGGACATGCTGTGACATGGGGACAGGGGAGAGGATGGAAACTCCCTGTGGGCTGCAGGAGCCTGGGTCCTGGCCAGACACTTGGAAGGAGGTGTACGAATAAACAGCATCGTCTGCCAAAGCCGACAACAGAAAACAAAGGAGGGCTCGCTCAGACAGGACCGCCTGTGTCACAAGCAATGTTCACGCAGGGCTGGAAAGGGACCTGCACGGCTACAGAAAAGGGTCACAGAGCAGCTCAGAGGCCGGAGCGGGAGCTTCTGGCTCTACAGTCCAAGATGTGTTCCTTAACTACGATGAATCAGTGTTTATGACACTGGCCGTATGACGGTTTCCTTCTGGATCCACTGATGGGCCCAGGACCTGTCTAGAATAGCACAGAGCCCCACATTTGGGATTGATTTCAAGTTTTCTCTTGGGTGTATAGCTCCCTCGAACATGGTCCCTCATCACAGAGGACCCTCTGATCTGAATCAGGAAGGGGGAAAGGAAGCCACTGGCCAAACGGTCTCATAAATGCCCGTTTGTCACAGGCGATTTTCCACAGTCATTTCAAGGGACGGGCAGTGGGTGAGTTAAGTTCAGCCTTTTGCTACACACTGTTTCCACGACACAATTTATCCAAGAGTCCCATGTGTAGTCTCTACTGTTTGGATGTAAAGATGAGTCACCTGACTGCAGGGATCTGCACTGGAAAACACCAGCACGGTCTACCACAGAGTACGGAATCTGGCATACCTGGAGGCACAGCCCATGGCCTGAGCATGCTGGCAGCACATCAGGCTTCCTCAACTCACACTGGTACAGTCCTAGGACACGGGTGATGTGGGATGAAAAGCAAAGTGAGTAACCGCTTACAGGCTGCCTCTGCCCCCTGAACGCTAACTAAGATCTCCAGGGCTGCCTGGCTGCTGCTTGGCTTCACAGATGTGGGTCCTGCTGAGCCTCGGTACCTGACAGGAGCCGCGCGCCTCCATGGTGCATATGCAGATGCTGCCTGGCTCTTCAGATGAAGTATAGACAACAGGACCTGGAATGCGTGTGGACACCTGAGCAGCACCTGCACACGCCCTCCTCACATCTAGTCCTTCCCTGTGCTAGCCATGTTCGAGGGAGCTATGCACCCAAGAGAAAACTTGAAATCAATCCCAAATGTGGGGCTCTGTGCTATTCTAGACAGGCCCTGGGCCCATCAGTGGAACCAGAAGGAAACCGTCACATCACTGACAGCCTCTGAGAGGAGCTGCTGCTCTATGGCTCAATCACACGGTGGCAGACAAGTTCCAGAACTGCCTTCAGGCTATCAAAATGGTGCAGGCATGGGTATTTAGTCTAATAAATGAATTTTGAACATGTATTCAATTTTATTTATTTTTATTTTATGTGTATGAGTGTATTGCCTGCATGTGTGTAAGTACATCATGTCATGCAATGCCTGCTGAAGGTCAGAATAGGGTGTTAGATTCCCTGGAACTGGAGTTATGGACAATTGTTAGCCGTCCTGTGGGTGCTGGGAATCGAACATGGGTCCTCTGTTAAGAGCAGCCAGTGCTCTTAACCACTAAACCATCTCTCCAGGGCCCTGAATTCAATTTTTAAACCAGGTTTTGGAGTGGTGAGACAAGGGCCTGGGTCAGTGGTTAAGAGCACTGGCTGCTCTCACAGTGGACTCAGGTTTGGTTCCTCAGCACCCACACGGAGGCTAGACAACCATCCTTAACTCCAAGTGCAGGGGATTAGATGCCCTCTTCTGGTCTTGCATGCATGTGGAGCACTTACATACATGCAGACAAAACACCCATATCCATAAAATAAAAATCGTTTTAAAGCAAGACAGGAGATAAGTAAAAGCTGCCGCCGAGTGTGTGGTCTACCACCCACTAGCCATGATGAGGTGCTGGAGCTTAGGACACAGCTGTGGGGGACCCTCCAGGGGGACAGACAAGGTGGTGGCTTGGGACACACTGTGCTAAGCATCCTAGTTCAGGGCTGGGGAAGTGGCTCAGTTGGTAGAGCGCTTCTGTCCCAGCACCACATAAACCACTCATAGAGGTGCATATCTGTAATCCCAACATCTGTGAGATAGAGGCAGGAGGATCAAATCTCAAGGTCATCTTCAGCTACATAGTAAGTTAGAGGTCAGTTTGGACTACATGAGACTCTGTCTTAAAAAAATAAAAGGATCCTAATTCATAGGTGGGCTAGTCGGGGAGCTCATTGGTAGGGCAGGTGTTTGGCTCACACAAAAGGAATGAGGATTCTAATCCAGCTGTGATTTTCTTCTATACCCTAAGAATACAACAACATGGGGAGACTAGAGAGATGGCTTAGCAGTTAGGAGCACTGGCTGTTCTTGCAGAGGATCCTAGTTCAGTTCCCAGCACCCACACGGCAGCTAAAAATCATCCATAACTCCAGTTCCCGGGGTTTCAATGCCCTCTGCAGGCCTTGCAAACATGTAGTGCATTGACGATATACATACAGGCAGAACATAACATTTTTTAAAAATTAAAAAAAAAGAATGTAGCATGGCAGGGTGATTGGCTCAGTGGGCAAAGCACTTGTTCCCCAGGTGTAGGAAGTGGAGTTCAGACCCCAAGACCCACATAAAAGCCAGGCAGGAGCAGCGGACTCCTGTAATCCAGCATTTGGGGGCAGCAACAGGGGATTCCCCAGGACAAGCTGATGCGCTAACTGAACTAGCTGGAACTGGAGCACTCTGGAATCAGCCAGAGACCCTGCCACAGCTGGGTGTGGTTGTGCACACTTTTAATCCCAGCACTCAGGAGGCAGAGACAGCTGGATCTTTGTGAGTTCCCAGTCAGTCTGGTCTCCATAGTGAGTTCCAGGCCAACCAGGGTTACACAGTGAGATCCTGTCTCAAAAAAGAGAAAGAGAAAGAGAAAAAGAAATGCAGAGCATCAGCCTCAATAATTAAAGTGCAGAAAGATCAAAAAAGACACCCAACATTAACTTCAGGCCTCTACACAGGTGTATTCAAACACACATGCATACACGCACACCACACCACACACACAAATGTAACATCAAAGAATGTTAACAAAGAATGTTACAGGGGGCTGGAGAGATGGCTAAGCAGTTAAGAACACTGGTTGTTCTTGCAGAAGACTTGAGTTCGAATCCTAGCACCCACATGTGTGTAACTCCAGTCCCAGGGGATCTGACAGCCTCTTCTGACCTCCAAGGGCATTGCACGACATGGCTGTACTTACCTACATGCAGGCAATACACACATACACATAAAATAAAAATAATAAAAAATACTTAAAAAAGAATGTTACAATATGCAACATTTGTTGCCTTTTATCTGTGAAATTATTTGTATGATGATTGAATGGTATGTTTTTCTGTATTTATGTGGCATGTGTGTGCGTGCACACATGCAGGTGCATGTAGAGGTTAGAGGTCATGAGAGGTGTCTTCCTCAATTGCTTTCTACTTATTAGGTCTTTTTGAGACAAGGTCTCTCTGTAGCCCCAGCTGACCCAGAACTACGTAGGCCAGGTTGACCTTGAACTCCCAGAGATCCGTCTGCCTCTGCCTCCCATGTGCTGGGATCTCCGTGAGTTCAAGGCCAGCCTGGTCTACATAGTGAGTTCCAGGACAGCTGGGGCTACAGGGAGACCCTGTCTCAAAAAGACAAAAAATAAAAATTAAATATAACTTAGGGACTTTTTTTGTGTGTTTTTTGGTTGAAAAAAAAAAAGTTGTAATCTTCTTTCCAATTAATGGCAAATGTTAAGAACCTATTTTCAGTCAGAGTGTCCAAAGAAATGAAATCAATATTCTAGAGTTCCAAATTTTGTTGAAAGGCAAAGGTAAACAAGATGATTCAAAGTTAAGTTTTAGGTAGTCCATCCAGGGCCCCTAAATGAACGAAATTAAATTTTTCTTAAGCATAAGACCTAGCAGCAGATAAGAGATTTGCTCCTATTTCTGAGGAGGAATGAAGAGGTTGTGAGAAAAACAGGAGGAAAGAGAAAAAATTAGCAAATAACACAAGAAAGTTTGTTGAACTAGAGAGATGGCTCAGTGGTAAGAGCGCTTAACCCAGAGAGGACCTGGGTTCAGTTCTCAGCACCCATATTATAGCTAACAATCATCCTAACTCCAGTTCCAGGGGCTCTGATACCCTCTTCTGCCCTCCATGGGCACTGTTGCACAAACATGCAAGCAAAATACTTACACACGTACAATAAGAACAAGTCAGTAAGAAGGTAGGTTTGCTGAGCCGAGTCCCTGCAGCAGTGGCCCTGCATTGCTGCAGCTGCCGGCAAGAGGGCCTTTGTCAGCAGCAGTCACACAATCGAGGCTCACACTCACCTGTGAGTTCCTCCAGAGCAGGCTGTGCACTCTTGGCGTAGTGACTGGGCTCCATGCTCACACCCGCTGAGCTGGACTCAGCAGTGACAGTCCCTTCGGTGTCTGTCTGGGACCTTCACACAAAAAAGCAGAGTCATTGGGATCTGCCACCACCTCTGGACCACCGTGGCCTCACCAGGGCCTTCTGAGCAGTGTTGGAGCACAGCCTGGCCTGCAGACTGACACGACACAATTCAATAGCCACAGGCCGAGAGTGGCTGCCCTGGTGGAGTGTCTGCCATCTCTCACTGGGAACCGCTTTCCCCAGTCAGGTCTAGTTATACACATGCTGGAGGGTGCTAGGTGGTTTAGATAATCAACCTGATGCCAGGAAGCAACTGGTAGGTAACCACAGTGCCAGCAAGTCAAACACACAGATGACTCCACTGATGGGTCCTCTCTCCCCACAACACACCTGAAATAGCTCACTCTGAAAAGGTGACTGTGAACAGGTGGGAATGGATGCCAAGCAATGGTGTCTCCCTTCTAGGATTCTGATTCACAGCTCAGATCCTCTGACATGAAAGGTCTCATTGATCATCATTTCAACACTCAGCCCAAGCTTGTACTTCCCCAAACTCCCCTCCTTGCCCTTATTTGTCAAGCAAAGTGAAGCAATACTGTATCCAAGGTTCTCTTGTCCACCTGCTCAGGCTCACTCAGACCCTGCATGTGACATTAATTCAATTGCATCTCCAACTGATCCAGCTAGATTTCACTACCTAGGAAAAAAATGCTTTTTCCCTCCCCAGTCTCCTTTTTTGGTATTGGGAATTGAATCCAGTGCCTTACGCATGCTTAGCATGTGCTCTGACAAGGAGCTCTATCCCCAACCCCAGGAATACTGATATATCATGGGATATAAACTGATGAACTTCAAAGCACCCTTCCTACGCCTTTATAATTCTTCCGTCCTATGCCTCCCAGTGAAGCCACCTCTTCCCAGGAACTGTAACCACTCCTTTTGAAGGCCTATCATAATTGCAACATTCTTGTCCAGCCCCCAGAGTTGCAAGCCCTCTTCATCTCTCCTTAGGACTTAAATGCCCTGAAAACAGGAACCCTGCCTCTATCCCAGAGGGTGTCAAAAAAAGCCAGGTGTACAATCAGTCTGCAGATGTAGTCAATTGTTCCCATAGTATTTTAAAAAATTAAATGTGTTCACCATTTAAAATTTGGGACATTTGGGGGTTAAAAAGATGGCTCAGAGGTTTAGAGTGCTTATTACTCTTACAGAGGACCCACGTTTGATTCCTAGCACCCAGAGGAAGTGATTCACAACTGCCTTCAGGGGATCTGATGCCTCAGACCTTCCTTCACACGCACATTACTGTCCCCCCCCCAATTAAAGATAATAAAAATAAATCCTTAAACTTTGGGAGATTTCACAAGACGCTACCTGGATTTCTGCCTTCCTCCAGTTTTTTTGTTTTGTTTTGTTTTTGTTTTTTTAAAATATGTTTTATTATTTTTATTTTATGTGTATGAGTAAGTATTGCCTGCATGTATGTGAGTGCACCTGTGTCGTGCAGTGCTGTGGAGGTCAAAAGAGGGCTTCGGATTTCCCTGGAACTGGAGTTATGGACGGTTCGTAGCCGCCACGTGGGTGCTGAGAATCGAATTGGGGCCTCTGCAAGAGCAGTCAGTGCTCTCAACCGCAGAGCCAGCTCTCCAGCCCCCGTTTATTTCTTGTTTGTTTAAAGAAATCCAGACAGAGCTAAGAGCTCAAGCTCTCCAGGAGCCAAGCACTGGCTGCGCCCTCTAGAGGGGCACGCTTGTGTTGCAGTCTGCGATTTCATAGGCTTTCTCGAACTGTGTATTTGAACCGCACCTGCCATCAAGCCACACAATGCCAACAAATCCTTCCAGAAACACCTCAGCTCAGACTCAAGACTATTGAAAGTTATAAATTTTAGTGTTCTTTTTTTACTGCACCTGTAAAGTTTTCTGCTCTTACAGAAACATAATGGTTTAATTCTAGAAAATAAAGACAATATTTTCTTACTGCTGTTCTTCAGCATGTAATTATCGAGTATCTTTGGATTGCATTATATTAGAATGTGTGATTTAAAACTTGTTATTTGAGGAGCTGGAGAGACAGCTCAGCAGTTAAGAGCACTGGCTACTCTTACAGAGGATCCAAGTTTGGTTCCCAGCACCCACATGGTGGCTAACAACCACCTGTGATTCCAATTCCAGGGAATCCAACACCCTCTTCTGATCTTTGTGCACATGATGCACTTGTATACATACAGGAAAAACATTCATACACATAAAATAAAAATAATTTTTAAAATTATTTTTAAAATAATAAACTATTTTAAAATAATAGTGAGTTCTAGGCCAG